TCTGGAAAGAACTATGTAAAAAGTTATGTTAACAGTGCTTGTCTTTGGGTAGTGGGGATATGGATGACGTTTGTTTTTCTCTGGAAATTTTGTAGACAGAAAAAGCTTATTTTTTTTAAAATATGAATTTAAAGACAGTTATAGCCTCTCCATTGATCCTTCTTTGCTCTGCTATCTGAGTAACTCCAGTTCTTTTAGCTCCTCCTCTACTGGCTTGGTTTTGGGGTCCAACGTATCCCTTTACAAGTGTGATACAAACAACCTCATGAAATACTTCGTGTTTGAGATAATCAGAGAAGAGCAAGTCTTGCATCTCTCATTCTGGACACTATATCGATATAAGTGAACATTTTTGCTTGTTTGCAGTTGTATCTAGTATTGATTTGTACTCAATAAATCTCTCTAAGTTAATGGATCTCAACAGTTCTTTTCCTCTGCAACTCACCTGAGTAATGTAACCTCATGCACATTAACGGCAGTGGCAGTGACTCACTCAAGGCGAGAGGGGTTGGTGCAGGGAAAGGGGTGGGTCCATCAGAAGATTAGGATGAGAAGGAATGGTGGGCAGGTGTGCGTACTTATGAGATGCTAGGGTGGAACAGGCTGACTGCTCACCAAAGTCCTTGTTTTCTTCTTCCTAACGCATAGCTAGACTAGAGTTCCCAGCCTCCCTTAAAGTTGGACAGTCATGGAACTGAGTCAGCCCATGGAATGAAAGAGGGCATGTTGCTTGCTATTTCAAAGCTACACGAATATCTCCCATACAGGATCCTTCATGCTCCTTCCCTCTCTGGCCAGCTGAAATAGAGAGGGATATTGGATTGAATTGGCTATTGGAGGCAAAGGATATTGGAAGCCACATGCAGAAGATGGCAGAGCTCTGTCAGCCTGGATTCCTGAAGGACTGTATGGAGGACGGCCACTCTGTCAAATCTGCTCACCTTCCCAGCATTGTTACCTTAGCAATACATAGTCTCTTCTTGTGTGTCAGCAATTACATGATTTGGGATCTATTCATTAGAACAGCTATCCAACTTCAACTAATATAATATCCAATGATGTCCTCCAGGTGACCTTGGTATTTCCTTGTGTTTTTTTCTCATCTCCTCTGCACCATGGGAGAGAATTTGCCTTAACTATTTATCCTCAAGTGCTTCAGTCAAGACACAGGAAGCTATGCTGTATATACATGCTGTAGATATTATAGACCAAGATATACGACTCTCTATTTTATACTAATAAATTTCAACTTGGATGTATCTTATCATATTGGCTTTTCAAACTTTATCTTACTTTAATTATATTATTTCTAATTTCCTGCCCTCTTCGTATTTAATAAGCATCCCTTTTATATTCTCAGGAAATTCATTACTAAAATTTGTGAACCAGCTACACTGATGAAAAGTTAACCAGTTGATTAAGAATATAACTTAGAATATGGCAGTATATTTACTTTCAAGCATTTTACTTAGAGAAAACACTATTGCTTTCCTCAATTAGCTTTTGCTGCATAATAAACCAAGCCAAAACTTAGTGGTATAAAACAAACATTTAGTATTTCACAATGTTCTATATCCTGACTGGACAGTGCTTTTGGTCTCGTCCAGCCCAGCTGCAGCTGGAAAGTCTAGGATGGCCTTACCTATGGACATGGGACCTCACCTGGGATGGTGGGAAAAGTTGAAACCTCATCCTCCACCAGGAGGGTAGCTCATGCTTGTTCACATGGGGCAGAAGCTTTCCCAGACTTAAAGGAAATGGAAAGCCCCCTAGAATCAGTGTGGGAGACCTTGTCCATGGACTTGTCCACACACGGAAATCATGGTGGCCTCTTTGTAAACAATAACAACAGTGCCCTTGTCCATTATTTTAAATGTATTTGCTATTTACATCTACACCCCAAAACACTGACTTGTAACATGTAACAGAAGTACAGATCCAGTATAAGACTCCAGTAACGAAGCTGTGGGACTGGAAGCTATCACAACTGAGCACAGAACTTGTCTTTGAGCTTTTCAGTAGCCAAAAGAGGAAGGGAGGGGATGAGTATGGAGTTCCTGATGGATTCTAGCTTCACAAACTCAAACCTGTTATATGACAGCGGGCAGCATCCACAGTAGCATGTCATATCCTAAGGCTTCCTCCCACATCTTCTCTGCTTTCCCTTCATTTCCTTTCCCTGATCCTCTCTCCTTATGCTCATGCTCCATAATAGCAATGTAGGAAATTAGCAAGAGGAGGCAGTGAGAGAAACAGAAAAGGGAGACTGAGGCAGTGTGAATACAGCTGGCACAAGGGCCTTGAGAAAATTCAGACAGAAAATTAATTTTCATGCGAAGCTCAAGCATGCTGCAAGGCCTTTATCTATTCGTGCTGTTCCCTCCCCTGGAATGCTATTCCTGCCGACCTTAGCCTGTTTCTTTCCTTCATGTCACCTAGACCTCTGCTCTGACATCACCTTGTCACAGAGGCCTTCCCTGACCTCAACTGACCCCCTTCCACCCGGCTCCCGCATTCTCTAGTCCCTTATTCTGAGGTTTATTTTCTTCCTAGCTATAATCAGTCTCTGAATTCAGGAAAAATATGAGGGCTGGAATTCTAAGAAGCTAAGCAATTATTATAGCACTTTATCTCACGGAAGCATAATCTACTGTTAAATTGTCTTCACAATCATTCAAAAGCCATTTGGAGCAGTTTTTGGTAAAGAGATTAGATTAGTTGCCTATTCCTCTCCCTAGCTCCTGGGCATGCAATTGGGTAAAAATGTAGCCACTTTTTTCTCAGAAGGCTTTAAATGAAAGGACTTCCAGTAGGTCACGGAACTAAAGGTCAGGAGAAGAAAAATGGTCTATTGGAAATGTCCCTTGTTTTACAATTTTAGAAGCCTTGGTTTCATCTTTAAAGCTTGATATTTAGTTCTCATTTACTTAGTAAGAACATCATTTCTCCCCCAGGGAAAATCCTATATATTTCTAAATCTGATCAGGTGTGTGGGGTGGGAGTGACAGGGAGAGAGGAATAGTAATTTAAAATATTGCAATGGTAAATGGAACGAGCACCCCAAATTAGGAACCACACACTCTCCTTGAAAGACACCTTGGAATAACCTGAAAAAGCACCTAAAAGGCCCACTGAGTCTGAGGCCGCCATGGGCTTTGTTGAGGCATCACAGAAGTGTGGAGCTGACATTGAAAGCAATCAGAAAGCCCACAGCGAGTATTTTCAAGCAGATTGGCTCACAACAGCACACCAGTGCTCTGAAGGATGGTGATTTTTCTTTTTAATGGCCCTCACTTGCTTTGTCAATATAAATGGCAAAGCAATTAACATTTATTAATATTGCCTCAGTCTTATTTTTTCCCTAACTACCAGCTTTGCACTCTTATCTTTGCTTTGAAAAGGAAACAAGGATTTATTCAGCCTTTAAAAAGTTATTACCACAGTTGGCCACTGGTTTGATGAATGATACTAGAAATGATTCTCAGTGAGTTCACCGTTCTGATGAATGATGACCCTTTAGAATCTTCAGAAGAAATATGGTTGGGGGTAGGTGTAGGATCCTGGGAGTTAGGGGTCCTCAGTTCTATCTTGTCACTGACATTGCCCATGACCTGGAAGAGTCATTTTTAGGTCTTTGAAAATGTCAATGTCCCTGCTTGATAAAGGTATAAAGTTAATATGAGCCTGAGTGTCCTTTAACTCCATTCTCCAGAGGGCAGGAGAGCCCTTCCGGAGGCTGGAGGGACAGAGCCTGTGTCAGCCCAAGGCTAGAGTTCGCAGTATTACCAGCTTGCCACCTTCCTTCTCCCTCTTATTCCTCCTGGTGCCCCTGCTGGGTGCCCAGGGCTCTGAACTGCCTTCTCCTTCTCCACTTGCAGGCACCCTCCGTGATTTACAGACACGCCCTCCCACCACACTGTGGCCCTGATTTCTGGCCTATGCCAGATGGTTTGATGGGGAAAACACGGGCTTTTGGAGTCAGACAGACCTGGGTCTCATCTTAGCATTACTTCCTACCATCTTGGCTTGGGTCAATTTCCCAAGTGCCCAGAAGCTGGGGTTCCCATCTATAACATAGGGTTAACAATGACTACCAACTACCATGGGATTGTTGGCAATATTAGATGAGATTATGCAGTTAAACCTCTGACACAACTCAGTTGTAATTCACTCCTTTCCTTTTTCCTCTGCCGTTATCTTTTCCTCTAGATTAAACTTTACCTGTCTTGTATTCTACATCCTCAGCGTCAGACACTTCATATGCACAGTCTCATTTAATCCTGCCCAAATCTCTTTCCATTTGGTATAACTGTGAAGGATGATTTTCAAAAAGGTAAAATCATGACTCTCATAAAATAAATATGTCTCAAGGATTTTCTGTAAATCATTAATTAAGAATGGAACCGCTAAAATGTAAAACTAGTTCAAATTCAGATTTAACTTATAGAGATTCACATTCTCAACCAGACAGAACTGATTTGTATTGCCCTAAACAAGAATAGTCCACGTGCCTATGGACACCTTATCAGTTTTCTATAAATTAGCTTCTCTCTCCACCGAATTGTAAAACAGCCTCAGCAGAGACGATCAAAGGCATCCACGTCTATGGAATCTGATAACCCCAGAGGGTCCCTGGGACAACGCCCAGCATTCCACTGAAAAGACACCCAGGAACCTCTTAGGCCCGTTTCAAAGGCTTTCACAATTTCCCTGAGCATCATCATTCCCATTTGATAGACAAGTAAACTGAAGATTAAAATGTGAACTAATGTGCCCAAGGTCTTTACGTAGCGGGGCTGGATGAAACTCCAGGTCGGCCAGTGGTGGCTCTCTGTCCCTGGGCCACATGAAGCCTGCTTCATTCTCCATGTTGGCTTCATTATCCAGCTCTGGTAGGGGGCATGGACAAAGAAAAAGAAGGGATTCTCCAGGAGACTCTTGGCAGAGGGGCCGAGTGCTGTGCTCACCTTATAAGGAGCCATGCTCCCCACGTCCACATGCCCCTGGAGTAGAGGACTCAGGTCCCTCTCCCATTCACCCCTGGGCCTCTCCAGCACAGGCTTATGGAGCAAGTGGGAGGGGCGATCTCTGTTCCTGCATGCAGGGGCCTGTGCTCAGAGATCTCTGAGATTTCCTGAAGGCAGGTGACTTGTCTCATCTGGCTCCTGGAGAATGATAAGCATGCAGGTAAGCCCAAGCCGTTATATTTTTGCAGCATTAGAATCTGTCCTTCCACCCCTTCCATTATGCTTTCTGGGGGTACCAAACCCTCCTCCTCCCCTGGGCTCCCGGCAGCTGAGCCTGCAGGCCATAGAAAGAGATGTGAGGTGCAAGCTGGTAGCTAACACTTCCCTGGGAGTGAAATCTCGGGGAAGTTGGGGTGCGGGCAAATACAGGGTGAGGCCCAGAGGGGAGAGAGCAAATGTAAGGGAGTGCAATGCCAAGCTAGTGTGCTCCTCAGCTGGTGACCAGGTCTCACAGGCTCTCTTCCAGGAGGCTGAGACTGCTGCATTTTTAAACAGTCCCCACTGGGGGATGGGGAATGGAAAAGGGAAGAGTTCATCTAGAGGCTTCCATCTGCTACTGGCCACATTTGCCTCCGTCTGATCCCTGGAACTCACCAGGAAAGCTGGATCCTAATGCGGAAGCAGTGTACCCAAGGCTGCAGCCATAGCAGGGGCAGGCCAGGGGCACACCCTGCACCAACAGCAAGCCCGGGTGAGGGCTTGAGCAAAAATGGGAGAATGGCAGAGTAAGAGGTAAGGACGTGCAGGAAAGGCGCTGGTGCCATGTGCCTACCAGCCCCAGGAGGGATGGAGACCTCAGCCACAGTAGGCTGGCAGGAGTGGGGTACAATGGTCTTCTGCTCATGATGGGGTTCAGCGACCACTGTGATAATCTAGAAGTTACTTCTGGAGCTTACAAGAGTGACTCTGGGGATGGGGTTGGCACCAGACCATCTTTCTAGCATTTGGAGGGGCGTCTCTAACACGGAGCAGAAAACTGGGTCTGAGGGAATCCAGGGAGGGGTGCAAACTGGGGCTGGCACAGCCAGGTGCTCCATCTCCTGGTGGTGTCCTTGGACAGCAAAACTGCCTGAATATAAACCCTCCCCCACACCCTACTTCCCTTGCAAATGCTGGCCTCTTGCTCTCCCATCATCTGTTCTCTCAGCCCTGCCTCAGGCAGAGTTCTTAGCCACTTCTTAAGAAGAACCTGTGTGTCCATTGCATTCATCTGAGAATGCCAAGGTATTTGCATTTTACAAGTTTTAGATTCTCCCAACTTTCTGATTGGTGGGATTTCAGGCAGGGTAAGGGAGGTGCTTGTGATGTGTCACTCACCTTTTGGACCTCAAGGGCTTATCTGTGATGGGAAGAGGAAAAGAAGAAATAGATGCCCTTAGTACGCTTTTCCACCAAGGAGGTTATAGGCTTGGTTCCACCTCCTTCTTTTCAGTCATTTTCCTTAAGACTCTAAAACAGTTTCTTCTTCAAGCTGCTCTCGCTCTGAGGGGTCCTTTCTTCAGTGACTTGGGGGCTGGCTGCATGGGAGTGGCTCCCTGCCTCTTCTGGTTACAGACATGGAATTTTCATTTCCTCCTTCACTTTCCTTCTCCCAACTGGAAATTCGGAAATGCTCCTAGATCACAGTTCTTACAGCCCTAGTCCACGTGCTTACCTTGTACTTTGTTCTTCTGGAATGGGGATGGAAACGGGGATCAATGCGAATCTCTTAAACAACAGGTCAGCCACCCAACATTTCTCAAGTACCGATTTTACACCAAGCATAGAGTCAGGGGCCGAGGAATCAGACAGCAAAGTAGGTCCTTCTCTTTTTAGGGTTGGAATTTACTAGAAGGAATATAACTTATAAATAAAAAGCGTGCTGTAAAGTGCACCAGTCTCAATGAGAGACACCTCTAGGGGGTCCTTGGGCAAACAAAGGAGAGAATGGTCAGTTTTCCCCAAGGAGAGGGGTGTGGTGAGGGGATTCCTGAGTAGAACATGGAAACCTAGGTAGGTGTTTTTCAGGAAGAGGAAAAGGAAGAAGCAGAGGGCTGGGGAGGGTCTTCACGACAGAAAGTGCAGCATGTGAAAAAAACCGATGGATCTTGGACATCGCCTGGATAACTGTGACTTCTTCATGGTTAACTGTTCACTGGACCCCTCTCGGCCTTCTGCTGAAGACAGGGGTGGACGGCTCCAGGACATGTGCCAGTTCACATCAGACCCTAAAATTTTCTGTCAATTTCTATTGCCTCTCAAGAGGCTGATATTTTCTTTAACTTTATATATTATATAGTTTATTTTATTTTATTTTGTTATTAATAATAAAATATAATATATATAAAATATGTAATATAATATAATATTATATTTTAGTGTCATGTTATTCAAACTTATTTGAAGTTCTCCCTTACTAGTATGCAGCACTGACTCCCTGACTCTGTCTCTAGTTTCTGGACCATGATGTTGCCTTGACGAGGACTCCCAAGTACTTGCTGATAGCAGACCATTTCCAAGACTTTCAAGGTTGAAGCTCAAGCATGCCTGCCAGGATCTGCTGCACTCACCACCACCCCTCCCCCACACCAGAAAAAGACTCTCAATCTTTAAGAGATTCAACATCTCTTGAGGTTTGATTAAACAATAATCTTGAGCCTACCATTACCCAAGGGAGTTTCTTAGCTATATGAATTTTAGAAGCTCCGGTGAGGCTGACCACAGCTGACCCCGTCTGAAATGTCTGCTCCTGCACTGTGCACACTTCCCAAACTGGACAGGGGCTCTCTGTTATTGCAGCCTCCCTCTGCCTTTGAGCTGACAGTGTAAGGAGGATCACAGCTCCTCCAGTGTAAGTCCACTTCCCTGTAGTGCTGTCCAACACGTTGACATCATGAGGATGCCTGGCTCGTGACCAGGATGAGGTCACAACTAGGATGTAATCTAAAGCCCCCAGGTGAGATCCTCATAGCATGACCAGACGTTGGCTCTCCCATCTACCACTGTTCTCACCCTATCGTACCTTGAAAGACCTCAACATTAGAGACAAATGTATATTTTATATGGGTGATACATGAGGGAGATTAATGATATATATAATGGAGCAAACTCTTCAAATCCCACACTAATCTCTCTCTCCTCTCAGCTTCTTCTCTTGTATTATTCCCTATTGTTTTGGGTCGAGCAGTGCCTAATAAATTCTAAGTTCCTTAAACCTAGAGACTATGGACTTTTCATCCTCCACAGTACCTAGAGAAGTGCTGAGCACAGAGTGTTCATTCAATAAACACTTATTGATTGGTTTAATGTTCTAGAGACATTAAGTATTCCCCCTAATAAAATCCTAAGGTATACTGGGAGATAATTCTCGCTGGGTCTCTTATGCTTGGAATGTCTTACAAGCAGAGATGCTGACAGCTCTTTTTCTAGATTTCCTTTTCAAGAATGTTTGTATAGTCAACAGCCTTGGAAAACAGAAATAGTGACCCTACTGGAACAGAGGGCAGATTTGTTTGCTGTCCAGTATAATAAAGATAATTTCTCCCTCCAGGGTAAAAGTTGGCTAAGCTTGCTTGAGGCCCATTATAAAAGATGGAAGGATTTTCAAGCTCAGAGTTTCTCAACTGTAATGCTGATTTTTTAGCATCCACATGTGCCATTCTACCTTGCCCTGGTGGGACATGAGGGGCAAGTGAAAACAACAGGAACGTGAAGCTCCTGCTACTTGCTATGCCTGGGTAGTAAGCTCCCTTGTCTCTGAGCCGGGAGTCTCATGTCTTCTGGCAGCATCCATGATACGGTGGCAGGCTTACTTGTTTGCTTGCAAATAGAGTAAAACCTTCTATCCATCATCATTCTTGACATAATGTTGGAAAGAAAAGCGCGTTCATTTAATTGCTCATTTAATTGTTCAGTTCTATATTGTTCCAACTCCATTTAGAGGTATATAGAACTAAATAAACAAGATATCCAATTTTAAATTCTAGACACTGCATCCTAGAGTTCTAGTTTTTCACGCTGCCTTTCAATATTATTGTTATGTGATTCTGACCTGCAGATCAGAACCCAGTGAGGAGATTTTGCTCTTAAACATAAGGAGTGGGCCTTTTATCTAGGCACATATCTTGGTGAATTTATGTGTTTGTACATTTGCCAGAGGGCAGAGTCCAGGGAAGGCAAGTTGTTTTAAAAAGAAAGAAGCTGTATTGTACTTAAAGCACAAAGGCATATGTGCCAGGATGTGAAGGCCCCACAAATCCTGTAGTGTGGTAAATTGTTAAAGGAACTGGAGAAGTTAACACAGGAGAAGTGTAAACATTCTCATCAAATATTCTAAGGCCTGTCAAGGGTCCAAAGCATAGAACTTGGTCCAAAGGGTAGAAGCACTAAAGAAATCACTTTCAGCTCATTCTAAGAAAGACTGTGTTAAGTTGAAATGGGTTGCCTCAAGAGACGGTGTTTTCCTCACCATGGGAAGGGTTTAAATAGGGGCAGAATGACTTAATCCGACAGGTGGTTGAACTGGATAAATTCTAAGATTTCCTAGGAGTTTAAGAGAGCTTAATGCAAAATGATGATTTATGTTGACTTAGTACCTGTGATGTTTCTGTCCACATAATTAATGTATGTTACCTGGTGCCTTGAAAACAGAAAAGGCTCTTATGTTTGGATTTGCTTAATCCACTGACAGATGGTTTTGTTGACAATGACTGTTTGTCTCTGACACTATATCTACGTTTTATAACCATGCAGGCTTGGTGTTTGCTACAGCATTGAAACAAAAGAATCTCATTGGTCCATCCATTCTCCAGTGAGACAATAACAATCCTTAATCATAGATGATATTCTTAACCATTCTCTGCATGCCGGGCACCATGCTAAGCACTTTCTATGTTGTGCCTCATTTAATTCTTGCAATAATCCTGTGAAGTTGGTACCATATGACCCCACTTTACAGGTATGGAAACAGACAGAGCACCATGTAGTTCACTCAAAGTCTCACAGCTTAAGAACCAGACAGGAATTTGGATCCTGGGCAGTCTGACTTCTAAGCCAGGACTCTTATCAACGACACATTTAAAAAGCAGACTCAGATGTGGAATAAGTTGTTAAGAAGGCATGAAATGTGGTAATCTGCCTAAGGCATCAGAGGAAAAGATTCACGTGCTTTTCCTTGGATAGCAAAATAACTCAAGTGCTATTCGTCCATTTCTGTATATTGTGATGTTAATGCTGAATCTTTGCAGGTTATTTTAAAAGATGAAGTATTTCACAACAAGGACAGTATGGTAACACTTTTTTTTTAAAGGAAGCTTTGTTTTTTGCTGACACTCTTTCGAATTTGGCTGCTCAAAGGGGAACAAGCAAATTTAAAAAGCTGAAGATTTCTAAATACAGTTAAAAAATTGTACACTTTCTGCCTGGGGAAAATCTTTTTCATGGTAAGTGTTCACTCATATTATATAACTATGCTGCAGTTCTGTAGTATTTTAGAACTCTTCAAAGCTGGATGTGCTGCAGTGTTTTCTCTGGACTGAAGACTCGAGGGTCTGGACTGAAGACACTGATGGATTTCAGGGATAATACCATTATCCTCTCAGGCTTAGCAATAGAATTGCCGATTCTTGGATGATCGCTCTTGTGCAAGCAGATGATGAAGATCTGTTAAAAGTGAAGTTTTAAAAAATAACAATGCTGCTTTTCCAATGTGAAAAAGTCATTAAGTAAAGTTGGCTTTAAAAGGGGCACAGCCTTCCATGAACTCAATAATATTTCAAAACCATTGAAAAACTATTAGGCCCAGATGGTTTATACTTGGGTTGGTAAACCGGGGCCAGAGAGTAAATATTTTAGGCTTTTTAGACCACATAATTGTCTTCCCTAGCTCTGTCACTGTAGTATGAAAGCAGCCGTAGACAGTACATAAACAAATGAGTGTGGTTGTGTTCTGGCAAAACTTTATTTGTGGACGATAAAATTGAATTTCCCATATTTCCAGTGTCATAAAATGTTATTTTTTCCTTTGATTTTTTTCAACAATTTAAACTTATGAAACTCATCCTTAGCTCATAGGCCATACAAAAACAGGCAAAGAGTTGGGTGTGACCCGCGGGCCACAGTTTGCTGATCCTGGTTTTACCTGACTTTGCCCTGGCTGTAGCATGTAGAACGAGCATGGCCCTGTGAGCCAGCAGGTGAGGTTGGTGAGACTGGTCTTGGCACGTTTCCCCCTCTTCTTTCTGCGTCCCCTTCCCACCCCTGTATTTCCCACAGAGTACTTGCTTCCAACCAGGAGAGTTTGATACATGCAGCATGCATCAACTGCTTTAATGATTATAAGCAGCAAATGAGATGTGCTGCTCCAAGTGTATTTACCTTTTCTTTACCTTTGTCAATCGTCTTCATAGGAGGTGATTCAGGGATTACTACTGAGTTTTCCTCAAGCCACACTTGGTTCCACTTGCAATGCTTTGATAGCAAAAACAAAATGTTCTACCTTTCCATCTGTTCACAGATGCTGCTCATTATTGATACAAATCCCAGCCAGACAGATGCTACATTACATCTTCTTGGAAGACCGCATTTCCTAACCTCCTTTGCACTTAGGTAGGGACTATGGAACTGGTTTTGGCCAATGGAATGTAGACAAAAGAAATGTATGCCATGTGCAGGCCTGACTCCTAAAACATCCAGAGTTACCTTTCATATCCTTTTCTTCCCTCTCCCATCCACCCAACTAAAAGCAAAGATGGCAGAGATGCTGAGCTTTACAATAGCAGGTGTCACAAAACAGAGAGAGAGCCACCCAGAAGAGCTGCCTGACCCACACTGGGTATTGATTGAGCAAGAAACAAACTGTTAATGTTTTGAGCTGCTGAGATTGTGGGGTTGTTAGAGCAGTTAGTATTAATTATCTTGACTAATATAATTTTTCAGTCTTACTCAAGGATTTTATTCAACTTCCTCTCCTTGTCTTTGATGGAGTTTATTGACAATTTCTCGCATTACGACAATTGCAAATTTGTGGCTCAGAATTATAACAATAAGAGGAAATTGTTATAGAACTTCACAAAACCAAGCAATCACACTTCTGGGCATTCATCTCAGAAAAATGAAAATTTATATCCAGACAAAAACCTGTATAGGACTGTTCGTAAGTAGTTTTATTGGTAATAGCCAAAAACTAGAAAGAACCAAAATGTTCCTCAATAGATAAATAGCTAAACAAACTGTTACATCCAAGCCATAGAATGCTGCTCAGGAATAAAAAGAAACTAACTACTGATGCATGCAACAACTTGGATAGATCTCAAGGGCATTATGCTGGGGGGAAAAAGCAATCTCAGAAGGTCCCATAGTGCATTATTCCATTTATATAAAACATTCCTATAACAACAGAATTACAGACACAGAAAACAGATTAGTAGTGGTTGTCATGGGTTAGAGATGGTGGGAGCAGGTCGGGGGCAGGGAGTGACTTCCTAGGTGGCAGGAAGAGGACTTTTGGAGTGATGGGGGGGTAGTTCTGTATCTTGATTGTGGTGGTGATTAGATGAATCTGCACGTGATAAAATCACACAGAACTATATACATGTATTGTAACAATGTCAATTCCCTATCAAACTATGCAAGATGAAGCCATCGAGAGAAACTGGGTGAAGGGCACAAGGACCTCGCCATGCTCTTTTTGCAACTTCCTGTGAATCTGCAAGTATTACAAAGCAGCTACCATTGATGAAGTCCTTACTCTATGTTAGGCTCCACATCTTTTTTCTGTATTATCTCACTTAGTCCTCCAAATAACATTATGAGGTGAGTATTTTAATCCTTATTTTACAGATGAGGAAACTAAGGATTTGAAAGGTGAAATAACTGAATGAAGACCACACAACCAGAAAGTGAGGAAACTCGGATTCACATTAGTTTATCTGCATCCACAAATCCTGTTCTTCACACCTATGTACATATGTACACTTTATTTTCTTAAGAACAATGCCGTCACTTTAATATCACTTGGTAAATGTTCCTTACTTTGATTGTCAGATCCAGAACATCTCCACAGCTAAACAGTCTCAAATGAAACTGAAACACAATTGCTTACTCAAATCCAGCAATGTTTGTTAATTAACTATGGCTCGACTTTCCGCATCTGATGTGTAAATTCTGAATTTCCTATGCTGGCATGAAAATAATTTGCTTTGGCTTTACTTTTCTGTTTATGTTTTATATCCAGGAGAGCATATAAATCAATTTTTTTTCCATAAATTTAAACAGAAAGATTCTGGGACTTCCAAACAGTTTCACTTTTTTCTTCCTTTTTAAATTCAGAGGAATGCACTTGGGAGTACAAAATGGGCTATGAGAATTGTGTGCTTGTGGACATCTGAGGAATGTTCCCCTCTGGCCCACTCGATTACCTAGACTGGATTGGGGCTTGGTAATCACACCCTGAACATAGCATTAGCCACTTCACTCTGGGCTCCAGCACTGCCATTTGCAGACCCCTGCGGGCCATGGAGAGAGCTAGAGGGACCTGTGGCTGACACCTCCACAGGGTGAGTGAGGCCAATTTTGATCATTTGCATGGTGCAGCTATACTGTCTATGACAACAATGAAAAGTTATAGGGCTGAAGTGGAAATCTGTGGGAACCAAGAAATGGTGGGCTTCAGTTTTAAGGGAGAGTGGATGAGGAAAACAACTCAACAATAAAATCCAAATTCTTAACTAGGGCCTGTAAGGCCCTACAAAATCTGCCAGCTTCTTCTCACTCCCAACTCATTGCCTGCCAGGCTTCCCTTGCTCGATCTGTTTCTGGCACACTGACTTTCTTACAATTTCCGGAGCATGCCAAACTCAGTTCTCCCATGGACCTTTGTCCTTTCTGATCTCCTGGGAACAGTCTTCCTTGGGACCTTCACATAGCAACTTCCCTGCCTTTAATCAGGCCATTCCTCAAGTTTCTTCTTCCCAGAAAGGCTGTCCTCAAATATGATAAGTATATTTAAAGTGGCTTCCTTTCTATAATCTCCACCCCTGGGTTCTAATTCCATTGTTTTCTCTTTAGTACTTATCACTATTTGAAATTAGACTCTGCATCATTGGTCATGGCTTATTATCTGTCTCTCTCAATAAAATATAAGTTCCTCATGGGCAGGGGAACAGCCGTTTTGTTCACTGCTGTGCCCTAGGCACCTAGAATATCTTCTAGAACATAATAAGCTCTACATTTTACCTCTTGAATGAAAAAACGAATGAATAAGTGCTGTGCCCACCATAACTTGCTTTTTCATCCCAACCAAGTGTTAACACTGTCTCTACCTGCCAGCCTCAGGCTCCTTGTGTTTGGATTTGGTTATTGTCGTTATAAGAAGCGTGTGCAGACTTCTGAACTAGAGATGGTTTGTTATCAAGGTCTCCCTCTTCTTGGTGCCTGGAGATGTTTTCTGAGCAATCTGTCTGGATTGTTGGCCTCTTGTTTCATTCTGGTCCTTGCTGCCTGTTCTGTTTCTCTAGGTTATAGGTCCCTTCCTGCTAATTCTCATCCTTAAAGGCCTGGCTCATGACTGGTCTCTGGACCCCTGGCTAGTAGTCACCTTTAGAACCAGAAGAGGCCCCACTCTAGACTACATACCTAGTGACATTCTGGTATGGCCTTGGCCTTGTCCACGTGCTCATGTTTATTAGTCATCCTGAGTCCTCAGCTTTCATTCAAGTATTCAGTCCAGCTTCTCCCTCCAAGTGCCCATCTTTCCCATCTTGACATAGTCCTCTCCCACGAGAAAAGTCTGCGAGAGTCTTCATTGAAATTTAATTTGGGCCCTAAGACAGAAAACCTAACATCAGAGCAGTAGAAATACTGCACATGAAAATGACTTTATCACTTATATTCTATCAAATTTCCTTGTACTGTTCGAAAGTGAACTTGTTGCTCTAGGCCTATAGAAAGACTTAGCCTACATAGGTTGTCAAATTTTATTGTTAAAACTACCTAAAGGATATTTAGATGGCAATATCCAGATCTGAATACCAGCCCCACCCTTCAAGCTACTGTGCTTACCAGACTTCTAGGGTCATTGCCTTAAAATCAAGAATCTTGAGTTTTCCAAGGCCAGGTTTCTTAACATGGAATTTTCTGTGGAAAGCTTGCAGAAACCTGAGGCTTCCCTCTCAGGGTGCACCTGTGAATATTAAGAACTATGATGGGTTGGGCAATTATGGTATTATCTATATACTTCAGACAACCTTAGAGAATTATCATGATAGGAAATATAAATAAAATTATAAAAATAAGATAATGGTAACAATAAGGGCTACCCTCTTTCTCATTACACAAGAAAGAAAGTATAGGAAATGTGCCAGATATGTATTTTCTACACCTCTTCACAGCTCCTTCCAGGACTTGCCAGGCCTCATGACTGACTTGTGTTTGATGAAACAGTTCAGATCTAGTGATAACAAGGGAAAACCTCAATGTAGTTATTCTTATTGTAGAAACATTCTGCTAGTGGTCTGCCTTGAGAGTATAAAAGTAGAAGCTGTCACAACGAAACAAGGAACATAACAAATGACTGTGTGGAATTATTGTAAAAGAAGCAGTTTATGAAGTGCCATGGATTTCAGCTTGTTTGATAGAGCTGGGCTTTTAAAATCTAAAGTGGTAATAGTTTAATATACTTTATAATTAGGTAATTAAAAGTTGTACAGAGTTATGTGCTTATGAACCTTAAATCATAAAATTGCTGTGACAAGGAGAATTCTGAGAAGTCACTGAGTCTTAAGTTCTTATTTTTATATTCAGACAGGATTAGATTTATGGTATCTTGGCAAATAAGTATCTACTTAAAAAAAGTGAGGAAAAGAGCCCAGCTATTTTTGCTATTTTTCTACCTTTCTACCAAAGGATTCTATCTGGCATTCTGGCTCCTTCTGGTATGAATGGAAAAATCCTGGAAAATCACCATTCACTTTGTAATTTATATTTTTAAAGATGATTTTCATCTCATGATTCAATACTTATTATTTTTTGTGGAGAGAATGTATTTAAATGATTACCTTAATCTTTTCAGTGAATACAGAGAAATGAGTACATGAAAGCAATAAGAAGTAGAAGTCTATATGTCGTAGATTAGGTGTTGATTAGGCATAACAGGTAAAACAAAATACAAGTTTTTATTAGGTAATGTTGAATGGCCAAAGGAACGAAATGTGAAGAAGAAAAAAAGCAGTCCAACTTCCACTTTCATGAAAATGGAATAGATGTATTTTTCCCTATTCTCTCTCTAATACAACTAAAACCCCCAGTCATTACATATACAACAAACACGAGAAGACTCTGAAGGGTAGAGCGCAGCTGGTCAGCAGAGGACCGCAAGACTGAGAGACTACACGCAGGCAAGTCCCTGCATCTTCTTTGTGCCTCAATTATCCCTGACTGAGAATAGGAGAAGACGGAACCTGGTAACGCCAACAGGCAGACAAAAACCCCCAAGAAGCCTGCTTTCTCCAGCCAAAGAAGGAGGAAAGGAGCATCCTAGACAGACAGAAAACTTTTAGAAAATAACAGAACTGCTCAAGCCAAACACACACACACAAAACTTGTGGCCCCCTCCCCACACTGCCAGCAAAGATTGAGTGTGGAGTGTAAACCTCCACCCTGGCTGTATTAGGGCACACAGCCCCCTCCTCCATCAGTGTGATGTGAGAGAAGGAGCCCTCCCACTGTGGTCTCCACCCCCTGGACAGTAACAAGGCCAACAGGACCACCCTCCACCTGTGCACTTCCACACAGTGTCAGTGGAGCTGCCCCTCCTCTCTTCATCAAGGAGGCATCAGTGAATGCCTAGGTGGGGAGACTGAACTCCCTCCAAGCCCATCAGCGTTAACAGAGACACCCACCATCACACCATCAATGGAGGCTCAGTGGGGAACCTTGACTTCCACCTGTGTCTGGCATTAATGAGGTGGAGTGGTGTCAGAGGAGAGCTGCTAAAATAAAAAATCCAAATAAGATACAGAGTCTTATAATATCCAAAATAATCAAGTTCCAGTCAAAAGTCACTTGTTATCCAAGAACCAGGATGATGTTAAACTGAATGGGACAAGACAATCAATAAATGCCAACACAGAGATGATGCAGAAAGAAAGATGGCTAAAGAAAGTTCTCTAAACAGAAATGCTAAAAGAAGGAATCTTGGAATATTAGGAAGGAAGAGAAAACAAAAAAATACCAAAATATGGGTAAATACAAATAGACTTTTCTACTCTTGAGTTTTCTTAATTATGTTTGACAGTTTAAGCAAAAATTACAACACTATCTACTATGTTTCTCAATGTGCAGAAGAAATATTTAAGACAATTAAAATGGGAGAGGGTAAAGAGACATGAAAGGAGGTAAGTTTTCTGCACTTCCAAATACAAAATCCAAATAAGATACAGAGTCTTATAATATCCAAAATAATGAGGTTCCAGTCAACAGTCACTTATTATCCAAGAAGCAGGATGCTCTTAAACTGAATGGGACAGGGCACTTAAACTCATAAAACGCCTACACCAATAGACTTTAATAAGTTACATGTATTTAATTTAATACCTAGGGCAACCCCTAAAATAGCTATACAAAGAGATACACTCAAAAACTATAGATGAATCAAAATGGAATTCTAAAAAGTTTTCAATAACCCTTAGGAAGTAGGACAAAGGAAATAAATAAAAATCAGAAAGAACAAGCAAAACAAAACAAAAAAAATGGCAGACTTAAACTTTAACATAACAAGAGTTAATAACAGTAAATGATCTGAATTCACCAATTAAAAAAAAAAGAGATTGGCAGAGGAGAAAAAAAATAAGCCCCAATTCACTTCAAATAAAATGATATAGGTATGTTGGAATTAAATGGATAGAAAAAAGATATACCATGCAAAATTAATCAAAAGGAAGCAAGAGTGGCCATATTAATATCAGATAAAATAGACTTCCGAGCAATACCAGGGACAGAGAAGGACCTGGCAGGTAAAGGAATCAATCTTCCAGTAGGATATAGTGATCATAGTTTGTACACACCAAAAACAGAGCTGTAAAATATGTGAAGCAAAAACTCGTAGAACTGAAAGGAAAAATAGACAATCCACAATTATTGCTGGAGATCTCAATATCCCTCTGTCAGCAATTGATAGTACGGCTGGCAGAAAATCATTAAGGACGTGGAAGAACACAACAATACTATCAACCAACAGGATCTAATCAACATTTACACAACACTCCACCTAACATCAACAGAACACACATTCTTTTCAAGAGTCCAGGGACCATATACCAAAATAGACCATATCCTGGACCATAAAACAAACCTCAACAAATTTAAAAGCACTGAAGTCATACAAAGTGCATTCTCTGTCAACAATGAAATCAAACTAGAGATCAATAAAGAAACATAACAGGAAAATCTCCAAACACTTGGAAACCAAAAAGCGTGCTTCTAAATAATCCATGAGTCAAAGAGAATGTCTCAAGAATCTTGCATAATCTTACATAAGTGGTGTAATAATACACCAATTTTACATAATCTCTTCCAGGAAACAGAAGAGGAGGAAACAATTTCCCTCGTTCCCTGATACCAAAACCAGACAGAAACAGTATGAAACAAGAACAAAGAGAATGTCTCAAGAAAATAAAATAAAATAAACACATTGATCTGAATAAAATAAAAATAGAACACATCAAAATTTGTGGGATGCAGTTAAGGCATTACTAATGGAAATTTACACTGCTAAATTCTTACACTGGAAAAGAGGAAAAGTCTTCTGTTGATAATCTAAGCTCCCAACTCAAGAAACGAGAAAAAGAGGAGTGAAATATATCCAAAGCTGAAGGAAGGAAATAATAAACATAAGAGCAAAAAATCCATGAAATTGAAAACAGAAGAACAATGAAGCAAAATTTGGTTCTTTGAAAAGATTGATAAAATTGACAAACTTCTAAGAAAACTAACCAAAAAAAGAGAGAGGAGAAACATATCACTACTTTCAGAGGGATTATGAATGGAACAGGAGGCATTACTGTAGACTCCACAGAAATGAAGGTATACAAGGGAATAAAACTGCAGGCAACTCTACACCCATAAATTTGACACCCTTGATGAAATAGACTAATTCCTCAAAAAGTACCATCTGCAACTCACCCAATATGAAACAGATTATTTGATTATCACTATAATTGTTAAGGAAATTGAATTGGTAATTAAAAACCTTCCAAAAAAGAATTCTCCAGGCCCAAATGGTTTTACTGGAGAATTCTTCCAAATGTTTAAAGAACTAACACCAATCTTACATAATCTCTTCCAGAAAACAGAAGAGGAGGAAACACTGCCCCTCATTCTCTGATACCAAAACCAGACAGAAACACTATGAAACAAGAAAAAAATAAACTACAAATCTGTATCTTCATGAATGTAGATGCAAAAATTCTTAAAGTACTAGTAAACAGAATTCAGCACGGTATAAAAGGAATCATACACCATGACCAAGAGGAGTTTATTATACAGATGCAAGACTGGTTCACTAGTTGAAAATCAATCAATATCACTCACCTGTTATCAGGCTAAAGAAGAAAAATCATATGACCACATCACTTGAGGCGGAAAAAGCATTTGACAAAATTCAACACCAATTATTGATTAAAATTCTCAGAAAAATAGGAATAAAGGGGAACTTTCTCAACTTGATAAAGAACATTTGCAAAAAAAATTACAGCTAACATTATACTTATTGGTGCAAGACTGAATACTTTCCCCCAAAGACAGGAAACAAGACAAGGATGTCTGCTCTCACTACTGCCATTCCTCATAGTAATGGAAGTTTGAGCAAGTGTCATAAGACAAGAAAAAATAATTGAAGGCATATAGATCAGAAAGGAAGAAATAAAACTGTACTTATTTGCAGATGAGATGATGGTCTATGTAGAAAATCTCAAGGAATCTACAAAAAACTCCTAGAACTAATAAGTGAATTCAGCAAGGCCACAGGATGCAAGGTCAACACACAAAAATTCACTGTACTTTTAAATACTAGCAATAAACAAGTGAAATTGAAATTAAAAATACCATACCATTTATAATTACTCAAAGAAAAGAAAAACTTGGGTGTAAATCTAAAAAAATCCGTACAAGACTTGTATGCTAAAA